TGAATACACTTCAAATGATCTATGTGATGAAGTTATAATACAATTGAGAATAGAATATACCTAATTGGTAATATATTACCTAATTGGTAATATCGATATTGCCAATATCGATTATGAAGTATCAATCAGTTTATCACTGGTTCTTCTACATGCATACTTTATTGTCACGTACTGGATATGAAAAAGTATGCGGCAGGTCTGCAGCAGGTCTATATGAGATATGAATATTCATGATGAAGAGTCTGCGGCAGGTCTGCAGCAGACTCTTCATCATACTGTAAGAGTATGCGGCAAGTCTGCGGCAAGTCTGCCGCAGACTGATCATCATACTGAAAGAGTATGCGGCAAGTCTGCGACAAGTCTGCGGCAAAACTAATTTGCATGTGAAAAAGATGACTGTCTGCGGCAGGTCTGCTGCAGATCTGCGGCAAGTCTGCCGCAGGAGTATGCCGCAGGCTCATTTCTTTCCTATGGGTAGTCTTCCACATCAGTCGTTTATAATAGAAATTTAAGTCGTTTAAATTCAAATAATCAACATAGAAACAGATTAAAAATTAAATCAAAATACTTTTTACGTAGTCTTGCAGATCAGGCGCTTATAAGAATTAAATTAATAAATAACAAGAAACACAATCAAATAATTTACTATGATATCTAAAATGTCTAATAAAGGTGTTAACCAACCTTGTATATCTATCGTTTATTTATTAAAATAACGAAAAATAATAACGATTTCTTTCTTTGTATGGAATTCAGAAAGCCCCCCCGCCCGCTTATCCTAAAAGGGTGCATTAAAGGTAAAGACCAGTATTGGAAACGCCCCAATTTCAAAAAATGAAATGGAAGCTCTTATTTCCAATCGTGTGAAAGAATATGTTTTGACTAATAGATGATCATAACAATTTTGCCGGGAAACCGCCTACTTATTCATATATTTGTTAAATTAGTTTATCTATTGGTGTGTGAGAGATAAACGCACGTGTCGCGCAGTCCTATATACATCTTTCTGTGTACAGTGCTTGTAACTTTACCAAGACTGGGCCAAGTTTCTTATGATTTTGATGATTCCAGAACCTTGCAGTGCACACCAATACTTATATGCTAGATGATCAACCTTTTCCGATCGATTCCTCAACGTTTATTTCACAATGCGATCGCATGACCATAACAGTCCTACTCCGTTATTTATTTATTTATTTGTTATTTCATTTATAAAGACTGTTAAGCGTGACTAGTTTGCATCAAAAAAGAAATCTATACATAGAAAGAAACGGATATTATTTTTATTTGGCCTTTTAAAAATATTTATTGAATTCATTGATTGATGTAATTCTTATACACGCCTGATCTGCAAGACTACGTAAAAAAAAAAAATCTGTTTCTATCTTGATTATTTGAATTTAAACGACTTAAATTACTATTACGTAAATTCTACTCTACGACTGATGTGGAAGACTAGTCAACACACCCTTTCGGCCAAACCGGGGGACTTTGGACAAATAGTCATGTTCGATGCGGCAACGACACTCTCAACGTACCCTTTCGGCCAAACCGGGGGGCTTTGGACGAATGGTCTCGTTCAAGTCAACGCGCCACGACGCGACGCTACCCACCCTTTCGGCATAAGCCGTACTGCAAGACTCTTACAAAAAGTACTTGAGGCCTGAGGCTACGGGGTGGTAGCTTGCCCTCAGTATGCAAAAGTGTGTGTGCGGGCAAGCACTGAATCAAATGACCGGGGTAATAGTATGTTTGTAAAGCGCTTAGAGACATTTGTATTAAGCGCTATATAAAAATTAAATATTATTATTATTATTATTATTATAAAACTAGCAAAGATCAAACTGAGCTATTGATGAAATAATAACAATAATGTTAATGATAATCTATATAAGTAATACGCTAAGGCTCCGCGGGGGGCGCGACGTCTCGGCGAGCCTTTGTATTCTATTGTTTTTTAATGAGATCGCCGACCGAAGTTGGTGCGGCTATCTCCTCCTGAATCCTCCCCTCGGGGTACCCGTGCCCGGTGCCGTCGTCCGCGGGAGAGTCTACTCTGTGGAATTGGCTATACTCCGCCCGAGGTCCTCCTCCGTGTCGACGTCCAGGGCGAAAACAGACGCGATATGCATAATGCAGGATATGCGTGACGACAGAGATACCTCATGGATATTCAACGTGACATCCGTAGACACACGACAGATGACCATCCACTCACATTAAGTTGCGTATTAAATGCACTATGCACAGGGTCGGGCTTACCCGAGTAAAGCATCTTTCTATAGGATATCCTTTGTAGTAGCTGCACAAGCCACAGAGATACACACGAAGCTTCCCGTCCACGTCCAAACTTAGAGACCTATTTCCATCATTATTGCCGCGATTTGTATATAGTTTTCGTGAATGGAGGTATGAAATCAAAGCTTATTTTGTGATTATTACGGCAATGTATACTAAAATTTGATTATCATTTTCTAAAGGAAAGTTTTCACAAGAAAACCATTGGACTGACAATTCAGTCGCAAGCTGCCTTCAGTCAACACAAAGTGCAGTGCTGCTGTGTAGTGTGTGTGAGTTGCGATGAGCTTGTAGGAAGCTCCAACACCGGGACCGCGCACCATAGGCGTCCGACGCCTGCGGCGCCGGTGTTGAGCTTCCTGGAGATACGCTGCAGTGTGTGTGAGTTCACCTAAGCTTGAGTCGAAGAGATTTGACACTTTGAAATTGTTATCTGTTGGTTTGCATCATTATTGCCGCGATTTCAATATAGTTTCGTGAATAGATTTACGAAACCTGAGCTGAGAATTAGTAAAAGTATTACTAATGTCTACGTTTTTAAACGACTGTCTGATTTTCTTGTGAAAATTATACTTTGAAAAATGATTATCGAAATTAATGGTCAGAAATAATCACAATCTAGGGTCTATTATGTTACAGTTCTTGCATCAAATCAATGCATGAAAACTTAGTTGAACTAGAAAAATGTTTTTTTTTTTTAAATAGGCAATTATGAAGTAGCAAGCCTGAAACCTTAGCCTACTAAACAAATCTCAACAAAGTGTAGGCCTATCCTTTTATGAATTAATGAAAAAGTAGCCCCAGAAAAAAGAGCCCCCGAAAATTTCCCAAAAATTTGAAATGGAGCCCCCGAAATGAAAAACTTAATTTTTTGCCTGCGCCCCCCTCTAGAATCCCGCGGATTTCCACAGGTCCTGAGTTGCGTGTATATATAATATAGGCGTGGGGTCCACAGGTTTCAAGGGGCCATAAACCCCCAAAAGCTCGGGGGTTACGTTCTTCAAAGTTGGGGGGGGGGGGGAGAGATCAGATCGCAGCGAGTTGAGTGTATATATAATATAGGCGTGGGGTCCACGGGTTTCAAGGGGCCATAAACCCCCGAAAGCTCGGGGGTTTTAGGCGTTTAATTAGGGTCAGATGAGCATATTTTTAATACTTTATTTGTGACACTTGCGGGTCACTAATTGGCGTGGGGTCAATACGTAGAGTTGCGTAGTGTTGCGTACCAACTACGCTGGCCTACGTTACTATATGCTGAGGGACGGAAAGGGGTACGCATGGTGAACGAAAACAATTCAACATGTTTAATTTTTTTGCGTACTTTCGGCGTAGAAACTTGACGCAGAAATTACGCCTTTTTACGCAGAAAGTCCGCCTTTTTACGCAACAGTACGCTACCCTACGCCAGATCGACTAAGCAGTAAAAGCTTTACACAGTAAGCAACCATAAGCAAACCTGTACGCCAGCCTACGCATAACCTACGCAGGGACTATTTTCCCATTAATACGCGGCCTAATTTCTGCGTAGTAGGTACGCCACACTACGGAACTCTACGCAGTTCCAGTGGCTTAAAGAATAACTATCAGTACAGTTGGATTGTTTTTTTAAATTTAATATAAGGCCAAATTAAAAAAAAAACATGCTTATAGCGTCCTGTTTTTTTGAAAAATGGGAAGGAGGAGGCACTTTTTTTTTTTTTTCTTTCTTTCAAAATGGCCGCTCCATACATTTTCCCTGGCATTCGGGCTATTTTTCAAGATGGCGGCCGACAATTTTTTTTTTTTCCTTTTTTTAAGATCAGAAATACATTTTAGCAGTGCTTTTCATGTTTTTTTTCTTTCAAAAAAAAAAAAAAAAAAAAATAAAAAATAAAAAAAAAATAAAAAATAGGAGGTGGCCCCCAAAAAGGAAGCGGGCGGGGACGCTAAACATGTATATTTTTTAATGGCCTGAATGGCAAATAACGTTCTTGGTGGTTTTAATTTAGACATTCTCTATATATCTAATTACACCCCCGCCCCCTCTAGAATCCCGCGGATTTCCGCGGGTCCTGCTAGTAATACTAATAATAACAATGATAATGCAATAAGAAGAAGTACATTAATAATAATAGACATTTATAAAGCACAGATACTGCTTGCATTAAAATTGTAATATGAAGTTTATGAAAAGTATGCATTCAGTTTTTATTAAAAAGTGTTTTTCTGTCCTCATGCATTTTTCACAAACAGTTCAAAAAATTTAAAATGTCAGAATTAAAGAGATACTATTGCAGAGAATGCGAAAGTTAATGTAGCTGGATTGGCATGTGTGCATTAGTAAAATGATGCCTGGCCAGAATAACCCTCAAGGATTGGAGCATGTACGTGCAATATCATTCTTCAATCTATAGGGCTACAAATGGGACTATTATTATCACTATAATTATTATTATGAGAATATTTCATGTAACTTACATTTAATAAGTCTAGTATAAATTGTACACTGAGTCATGACAATATCTGTGATAACACTTTAAAAGGAGTTTAACAAGTAAATACTAATTTGCTATCAATTTTTATTATACTTTATATCTTATGGATGATGAATTAAGGACTGATCTAGAGTTAGGAAAACAAACGATCAAAACTGACAAACACCACAAATAAACAACACAAACAAATTAAAGCTAACAAAAAGCAAAACACACATATACACAAACCTGTTTCTTCAGGATTTAGGCCTCTGCTGTGAGTAGTATCGCTGTGTGGTTCCAAACTTGTTAGAACCTGTAAACAAAAACATACATAAACTAGTATTAAGATTGTCATCGAGCAGCCTGCACTAGCCGCATCACAATTAGCAACTTGAACTACTTATTTAAGGGGCTGTTGAGATGATTTCACTCTTTATTTGTTTACACTGTCATTCTAGACTGGTCTAGAGCAATATATTGTGTCATTGCATGATTCAAGATTCAAGGTTCAAGATTTTATTGTCCATATATAATACATAAATTTGTTTTCCATTGGTGTAACATGTAATACATAAAACATAAGACAAAAACATGGTGTCGTGTACTGAAAGCCAGAAGGGTGTCAAGACTCTATTAAGAAAAGTCTATGAGCAGGTACGGTCCTCCGGCTTAATTTCAGCACAAAACAAAAAGTTATATGACTTATACACAGCAAGAATTTTAAATACAATTCTGAATCACATCATGAATAAATTCAGGTATGAATATTAATGTGAATATGAAAGTAGATATAGGAGCAGCATCACAATCGAAATATGAGCTGAAAGAGAAAGAAAAAGAGAGCTAAAGCTCGAAGGACTGATAAAAGAGAGAAATATAGGGAGAGTTAGTTATGGTCCAAAGGGAAAGGGGAGAGATAGAGAAGGAGAGATGGCATAATTTCCCATCAGATTATAATGCATGACAGAAAATACATGATTGACTACGTACTTGACATTCCAGATGCAAACAGCTAATGCATGAACTAAGGTTTATGAATACTTGAATGGCTAATACTGACTTAAATGTAGACTTGTGTTGCACTATTAATGAAAATAATGAAAACAATAATAAGATATTTGTATACCGCAAATTGCCTCTAAGCTGTTTAGAAGGGGGAAACTAGATGGAACTTCGACTGCGTGCAGTCGAAAATGATGCCTCCGTCATAGAGCAAGTTTACAAACCAAAAAGCAATTTCTCATATACATATATGACCCTTTGATCTTTGACCTCATGACCCTAAAATGTACTCAGTTCATTGGCTCTGCAAGATGTCCCGAGTTAAATAGTAATCCATCTGTCAGTTCTAATGAGAATGCGTTCACAAGCTATTTTTGCATACATAATGAGCCCATGACATTTGACCTTTGACCTCATGACCCAAGAATCTACTCAGTTCATTGGCTCTGCAAGATACATACATGATCTAAGTTTGGCAGGAATCCATCAATCTGTTTTAATGATAATGCGATCACAAGCTATTTTTTTGCACACATAATGAGCCGCATGACCTTTGACCTTGACCAAGACCCCAAAATCTAATCAGTTCATCGGCTCTGCAAGTAACATACATGACCTAAGTTTGGCAGGAATCCATCAATTGGTTCTTGAGATAACGCGATCACGAGCTGTTTTTGCATACATAATGAGCCCTGTGACCTTTGACCTTTGACCTCGTGACCCCAAAATCTAATCAGTTCATCGGCTCTGCAAGATACATACATGACTAAAGTTTGGCAGGAATCCATCAATCGGTTCTTGAGATAACGCGATCACGAGCTGTTTTTGCATACATAATGAGCCCTGTGACCTTTGACCTTTGACCTTGTGACCCCAAAATCTAATCAGTTCATCGGCTCTGCAAGATACATACATGATCAATGTTTGGCAGGAATCCATCAATCGGTTCTTCAGATAACGCGATCACGAGAACGGGACGTACGGACGGACGGACAACCCGAAAACATAATGCCTCCGGCTACTTCGTAACGGAGGCATAAAAAGAAGAAGAAAAAGTTGATAGGTAAAGGAAACAAAATTTGCATTACAAATTAATTACATCAATTCAATTAACGTTAAAACTTTGCAAATGAAAATAATACATGTACATAATTACAAATCACTTACAACAAAAATACAAATTGTTCATAACTAGTATCCTACGTTAATTTACATAAAATATAAAAGGCAAAAGGTCAAAAGGGCTTTTCAGGAACAAGACTTAAAGAGATGTGTTTTTAGCATTGTTTTAAATGTATTTAATAAAATGGCATTGCGAATTTGAAGGGGGAGATTATTCCAAAGAAATGCAGCTGCATAAACGAAAGAACGTTGACCGTATTGTTTGTAAGACATACCGTAATTAACAGTGTATAAACCGCCCTCGTGTATTAACCGCACCCCTCTTTTTTTCGCCCTTTTTTTTTTTTTTTGCCGACTCTGTCGGCAGCGAGCCAGGTCCGTGTTAAAAAACCCACGCGGGAAGCAGGCGCGGATCCACGGGCCTAATTCCTCCGGCCCGGCTATGGCAACCCCTTTGTGTAAAAACTAGATAAACTCAGTTTATCAGAAAAACTGTGTTTATCAATGATAAACTCAGTTTATCAACTGATGAACTGAGTTTTTCTGATAAACTGAGTTTATCAACTGATAAACTCTGTTTATCTGTTGATAAACTGAGTTTATCATTGATAAACTGAGTTTTTCTTGATAAACTGAGTTTTTCTTGATAAACTGAGTTTTTCTGATAAACTGTGTTTATCTGTTGATAAACTGAGTTTATCTGAGAAAAACAGAGTTTATCTAGTTTTTACACAAAGGGCTTGCCATAGCCGGGCCGGAAGAATTAGGCCCGTGGATCCGCGCCTGGCGGGAAGGCCTTTCATTTAACTGCGAGGTGGAGCTGAATGTGTAAGATCATTAATGTAAATAAAAAAACAGTAGAGGACCTAGGATAGAACCTTGTGGTACGCCGTGTAATAGAAGAAAAATTGGAGGAATTAGTATTATAAACTACCAGAAAAAATATTTCTATCAGAAAGATTACTTTCAAACCAAGATGACAGACAAATTTGAGTGTTGTTCTAGTTTTCGAGTGGTGATTCAACACACCGATAACTGAGCTGGGAGACATTGCCAGGCATAGGGCCAGGTGGAGGGGAATAAATCGAAACTTAAAAAAAAAAAAAAAAAAAAAAAAAAAAAAAAAAATTGAAAAGCAGATCGCAAAGTCCGGACAGGAGCTAAGGAAGGAGTTCAGAAAGATATGAAGGAGCGAAACCATGATAAATCTTGAAAGTAAGGAGGATTTTGTAAGTAATGCGAGAAGTGATAGGAAGCCAGTGAAGTTTTTGAAGAACAGGGGTAATGTGAGAAGTACGAGGAAAACAAGAAACTAGACAAAATATATTATCATGAAGGAAATGCATATGCAACAGAAACAGCGACCTTGATATACCGTAATGCATTGTAGTCACAGACAACCCATATAGTTATCGTTCTTTGCTACTCAGGTACATTGCCCACATTTTCCGATATCATTAATTAGTTTGAAAGATCGTCAAAAATTAAAAAAATTATTCGGGCTGAACTTCACTTCGCCATCATAATAATAACTATTACATTTACTTTTATAGACATATGTATTTGGATTAACAAGTACGATGGCCATTTCATTCTCTCTTACTGGTTAACCTCAAACCAGAAAAACAATATCTGTATGAAGATGATAATTACCTGTGGTGGAGTCACGATCAGCCTCTTTGCTATTTCATCGGCAAGAGCTTTACTATATTCATTCTCTATGAAAGTAAATCATCGTATACAGTATAACATTTTAATATAAGATTGTATGATTCCAGAGTAATTTAAATTACATGTACCGGTATATTATTTAAATGAACATTTTGATGATGATCCTGCCTTTATAGCAAGTTAAAAATAACTAAATAGCTAGCTTACTTTGTCAACCCTCCTGTTTGATGTTTTCGATTAGTTAATTTATTCTACATTATATTCTTTTGGAATGTGTAAAATTTGCAATGTTTTGTTTGTTATATATTTGTAAAAATGCAAAAGAAAAAGAAATCAAACAGAAATAAATAAATAAATCAAATCAAATCAAATCAAATCAAGTATGATGTGATGCCATGCAACTCCTTAAATTGTTTTAATACACACCTTGACTAAAATATAATGGCTGAAAAGGATATGTTTTTGGTAACTTCTAACAAAATGCTATCCATAATATGAATACAAATTCTGAAGGGAAAAGGAGCTTGCAAAAGAAATTGATTTTTTTTATGAATCTGATTGTATAGGAAATGGGAAAGTTGTTCCAAAATACTTTACAGTCTATTAATCAGTTCAATAATTTGACATTAACGTAGCAGTACAAAATCACAAAGATATTGCCATAATATCAAAAGGACAACGATCAGTTCACTTCTTATATCTATACTACCACGGCAAGAACTATTACTTTGTAATTGCTATGTCAGGAAATGTTTCAGAAGGTAGTAATGATAAAAAATAATAAAAAGGATAATGATAATAATGACAATAATAATAACAAAAAAAAAATGATAATAATAATGAAAATAATAACAATAATAATAATGATGATAAATATAAACAAGGGAAACGCTCTCGGCGGTCTCGCCTGCATAACGCAATTCAATATGATAAACCAGAACTTCAATGACGTAGCGCTCATCCGCATCTCGCAACAACAAATATCGTAAATTTTATGTGGTACGTACACTTTTGAACTGGTCAAAAAATAAAAATTTGATGCCCTGGAAGGGACATAATTTCATTTCATTTGCATAAAGTACCATAAATAATCAATGGAGCAAAATCTCAAAATTCTGTGTAGAAGTTTAGTGTTTCAAATTTAGCTCTACCAGATAAGGCAAACCAAATCAAAATCGGTCAAGAAATGAGGGAGAAGAAGCAATTTTTGTTATTTTTGGAATAAATTTGCATAAATTACCATACCGTAATTAATTAATGGAGAACAATTTCAAAATTCGGTGTAGAAGTTTAGTGTACCAAAGTTAGCTCTACCAGATAAAGCAAACCAAATCAAAATCGGTCGAGAAATGAAGGAGAAGAAGCATTTTTTGTGATTTCGAATAAATTTGCATAAATTAGCATAGATAATGAATTTCACGATTCTGTGTAGAATTTTTAAATCCCCCTCCTAGCCCTATCATATGAAACAATCAGAATCAAAATCGGTTGAAAAATAACGAAGAAGAAGCATTTTGAAAATCTTGATGTTGATGTCACAACAAAGTCTAAGTTTGTTGACCTTAAATGACCTTTGACCTTAACTTAGTGACCTGAAATTCTACTCACATGATTGGGGAGACTTTATAACCCCATAGTCCAAGTTTCATTGACTAAGAACTTATACTTTCAAAATTATATCAAAAATTCAAAAACTTAACCTTAGGTTAAGTTTTCGATGATGATGCTACAACATAGTCCATGTCTGTTGACCTGAAATAACCTTTGACCTTGACTTTGTGATCTGAAATTCTACTCACATGATTGGGGATACTTGATTACCCTATGGTCAAAATTTCATTGACTAAGAACCTATACTTTTTATGTTTTTGATGTTGACGCCGTCGCCGTCACCGGAAAAGCGGCGCCTATGTCTCGCTTTTTGCTACGCAGGCGAGACAAAAATGACAATAATAATCAGAACAATAAGAGATAAGAACAAAAGACATTTATAAACCATGCACAGCCACTATGTGCTTATAAATTGTAACATTAAGATATTAAAATGAAAAGATACGCCTTAAGTTTTGATTTAAAAGTGTTTTCCGTCCTCATTTGTCACCAACAACTTATGTCAGAACTAGAAATATCGCAATCTGTTTTGCCGCGCAATACGAATGTATCCCCCGGCAGTGGCAGCGCTTTTCATGTCATCCTTACGTTCGAAGGAGGGACAAAGATCCCTTCTCCCATCCCTGAAACAAAAGGATGACGTAGAGATCACCAAACACTAAAGATGTGTAGATTATACCAAGATACACCTCCATACAAAATTTGAAAGAAATCCGTCAAAGAATGATGCAGTTAGACCGCACACTACAGTGCATGCACACAAGACATCCATAAAAATATGACCTTTGATCCTATAAAAGACAGAACACTGGAGGCAGCTCCACCAAAATCTATAGGCTTGTAGATTATACCAAGATACACCTACATGTAGGTTAAAATATTGAACAAAATCCCTTGAGAAATTTAGCCTATAGAGCGCACACAAACCATCCACAAAATATGGCCTTTTACCCTATGGAAGACGGAACACTGGGGGCAGCATCACCAAAAGTTATAGGTGTGTAGATTATCCCAAGATACACCTCCATACAAAATTTGAAAGAAGTCCGTCAAGGAATGTGGCAATTAGAGCGCACACAAGAATATGATGCCGCGGACGCGGCATATTAACGCTGCTGAATCCAAAGTACCCCACCGACATACTGCGGGGGGATACAATACACCAGTTTACGGTTACATCAGTGCACATGCGCAGACAGGCTGACCTCGGGTCATTGGCTTTGAAACAAAGCCAATGACCTGAGGTCAGTGGTATTTATGCGTAAATTAAGATTGCGCCCATGGTGCAAATGGTGATGTGCGCAGTGATGTCATCATAATTTGCATGGACGCAATCTTAATTTACACAATAATCCTTGTTTACTCGCCAATTAAAATGGCGCCCCTAACTGTTAACTGGTGTATTAAAGTACTTATATGCAGAGAATATCATTTTTCTTATAGTAAAGGCAAAATCTTTGTTAAAGCTACTACCGCGGTACCGGTATGTCCTTTTTGCAGCCAACATCAAATTATGTAGCACTTTGCAGGAATTATGATAGTATCCTATCTGTGAAATTTAAACATTAGCAGTGTCCTAGTATTTAAATTACCGGTATGCAAAGAAACCTGTTCACCTTCTAGACTTCACTGTCAGACACAAATGAGTGACCGACTAACATCTCTTTTTCTTAAATTGGTAATAACATACCGGTACATAAAATGAGCTGTAACAGGTACATGAGCATTTGTCTGCTTCAATAACCCATTACTTGTAATGACCAAAATTAAACTGATTGAATTTGTGTGAAGCAGAAAACGTACGACCATTCGGTAAAAGAGTCTAAAAATTAGACTACTACTTAGGTGATTGCAATCACTTAAGTCATTTTCAAGCCCTTTTGTGAGGGAAGTTCTAAATTAGTATTGTCTTCAAATGCCGTTGGAATTTAACTTTTTTTTTTTTGGCCTGCAAATGGGACATATAGTACCTTTAAAGTCCTACTAACCTTTTGCATCTTCATTCCCATGTCCTTTCTTGTGAATTGACCACATTTTCTCGCCAGCCTTTGCAACCTCGACACATATTTCACATGTGTTTGTTGTTTCTACACCGTCTGTTATTGCCTCACTTCTATCAAATCTGAAGCAAATAATAAAATGATAATAATAATAATATTAATAAAAATAAGAATAATTATAATCATGAAAATATTAATAAAAATAATATTAATGATATAACGATATATACACACTTATATTCCAAAGCAAAAAAGTAAAATTGACACGCAAAGTATATCAAAACATTTCAGGGTTGGCTCAGTCGGTAAAGCCTCTGCCTGTCGGACCAAAGATCTCGGGTTCGAATCCCACCCAGGCGGATGACTGAAGCCTGCGTTGTGTGTTAACGTGCCCCTTCCCTTGTTCATAGACGCAGCCTATGTTGAGTGGAAAACACTCCGTCCCTCGGGTAGGAAGTTAAATGGAGGCCCTGTGTACAGGAGAGTCACTACCCTTGCACGCTAAGAACCCACTGCACTGCTAATTTGGCCCCCTCCTTAGATCTCAGAGAAATGGCCGATCACCGCGAACATTTGCATGCATGTCAAGTGAAGTGTATAGTATACTATAGTAATTTTAATTTTTTGAAAAATGCACTTATTTGCATATTTATTGTAATTTATGCAAATAGGGTCATAAAATGCAGAGACTAGTAATAAAATTGTTTTTTTCAAGTGTATAGAATATTACATAGATAGATACACAAGAAACAATAAAGAGAGAGAGAGAGAGGAAACAGATAAGAGATTACCCTTGTCCTGTAAGAGTTTTCTTTAAACTTGTCTTTCCAACACGTTCTTGTCCAACAAACATCAGTCGCGTTCGGAATACTTTCTTTGTGCCAGCTTGAGCTGCTTCGGCATACGCTCGCTGTGCTCTCCGCCCCCTAGCAAGTATCTCAGGGGGTGCTGAAAGACCACCAAAGGAAATATCATCCCGATTGCTCCCCAAGTCATGTTTGAGAGATGTCAGTTGGTCGTTGTTTCCTTTGTTATTACCAGTATCATCTTTAATAATGAAAATCAAGCAACAACAAAATATATCAGGATAATTAAAGACACAAATTTGGCCTACACTGTAGCTGCCACAGAGTGCAAACCGATCTAAACTACAAAGAAAAAAACATGAGAAAAGCAACGACAACCGTCATGGTAAAAATTTAAGTAAGGATTTTGAAACCTTTTCAGCTTACATCTTTAGATGTTCTTTTTTTTTTCAATACAAAATTTTGTAATGACTGAATTATGGGTAACTATAGATGGACCTTTGACAGCACGCAGTCAAAAATGATGCCTCGATCCACCATAGAGCGATTTTACCACCCAAAACAGAAGCAATTTTTAAAAATTAACTTCGATCGTAAACCATTAAAAGGTTCTCAGAATATTGTGATTACAAGCTTTTTTCATAAACATGTATGACCCTTTGATCTTTGACCTCATGACCCTAAAATCTAATCAGTTCATTGGCTCTGCAAGATACAAACATTTCCTGAGTATGATGGTGATCCATTTGTCAGTTCTAATGAAAATGCATTTGCAAGCTATTTGTGCATAAATAATGAGCCCTGTGACCTTTGACCTCCCGACCCCAAAATCAACTCAGTTCATTGGCTCTGCAAGATTCATACATGACCTAAGTTTGGCAGGAATCCATCAATTAGTTCTTGAGACATCGCGATCACAAGCTGTTTTTGCATACATAATGAGCCCTGTGACCTTTGACCTTGTGACCCCAAAATCTAATCAGTTCACTGACTCTGCAAGATACATACATGACCAAAGTTTGGCAGGAATCCATCAATCGGTTCTTCGGCTACTTCGTAACGGAGGCATATACAATAGTCACATGTTCTTCAAACATTAAATACTGAAACAGATTACTCTGGTAATAAGTTGATTTGTGCAAAAGCTGAAAAGAATGCAGAGAAACAGGACGCATCCGATGAAACTGCCACTATGAATGGAACAGAGGAGAAATAGCTGATAGAATATAGCCGATAGAACAGCCATGCATGGACCTACTACGAATGGACATTCAACGAAGCAATTCCTTTGATCAAATGAGTTCCACTGCCAAATTTTAAATTTCCCACAGATGCAAAAACCAAGCGTGTGGTCCGATCACATGCTGACGTCAGCTGAAGGCAATCATGTACCTACCACGCCATGCGGGGTTGTTTGCTGCTCCTAAACAAACCATCGAGAGCCTATTGTATTGAATCAGCGCTCTCCGCAATGCGGAAGTAGCGAACATGTTTTTGTCCGCCTGTTGACATTTTGTCAGTGGACCTATAGGCTTAGCTACTACAAATGTTTTGTAATTTTAGTGCTTTCTATCCATGTGACTCCAGTAAAACGGCCACTATGAATAGGTTGGGAGAAAAACGGTAGAAAAAAAATGCTTGTGTGGACTGTAAAAGGAAATAGTAGCAACCATCGCAGATCAATGATTGTGTTCCACCACCAGCACAATATGAATCTAGCTGCATTGTTATATTGCAGTGTAAAATTGTAGGAAACTATATCTAGCTAGCTGCACACTGCATGCACTGCACTCAGAACTTCCGGCCAGGGCTCGCCACAGCGAGTGAATTTCACCGGCAGTCCAAATCCAAAATCAAAGTGCATGCCAGTAGTAACAACCTTGCACTTGCACTGCACTGTCTGCCAAATCCAAAATCAAAGCGCGCGCCAGCAGCTAACAAGCGATTGCGCAATAATTCTTCACTTCTGGCCGGGGCTTGCCACAGCGAGTGAATTTCACCGGCAGCATGATTGGCATATGCGGGAAAGTGGCAATTTCACATTTGTTTACATAAGGCAAGCTAGAGCAGTGGTCTCGTAACCGGGAGGTCCTGTACGTGTTTGAAATCAAGTCAATATGCTCACCCTTTGGTAATTAGATATTCATCCTCATTACCAAGTCCCTCGGAGAGGACTTAAAGCCATCTGTCCCCTGGTTGTTTACTTACAAGAATTTAATATACCGGTACATGCTTTTTTAGCAGTCAGGTAAAACAATCATCATCAAATACTCTGGAGGTGAAAAGTTCATTTTGTATGCATCCTTGTGGGGCTTGCTCAACCCATGTTAAAATATGCTACCCATCTGGATATACATGTAGGGCATACCTGCCAACATTTGAAAATGAAAATTAGGAATTTTTAGCACTGTATGCCTTCGAAAATAAGAAATCGCACTTGCAGCGGCAGTATAACTGGCAATAAGCGGTAAATCTGTACAAATTCGCTGCTCGACCATGCAGCCATTCAATGCACTTGATACATGAACTCTCAAATTGCGGCACATGAATCAGAATATTCCGGATTATTCAGAAGGGTTGGCAGGTATGGTAGGGGTGTCGGTACATACAAGGAGCCTTTGCCATTGATCATGATAATGCATACCTAGACTGGTTTCTCTTGTGAAGACCCTGTAGGTATCAGCATTACTTGGGAACCGTGAATCTGGTCTGCACTGAGACAGATAGACAAAGACTGCCTTCCGTGATCCACATGTGAAGTATTGGATACCTTCAAAGCTGCCGTCAGTACCACCAATAATCGGTTCCTCCTGAAAATGATGAAAATGGTGAAAGAGGCAGACAAACGCCAAATATAAACTGTTAACCTACCAAGTTTGCCCCTATTGGTTGCTACTTGCTACTTTTGATGTTATTACCGGCAACTTACCTGAATGATTTGTATGACACATGTTTATCGATTCTAAGAATATCATTCTGTGAAGTCAATCATCTGGTATGTCCCAAAATACTTTCCTTACCGACATTCATAGTATTCTTTATAAAATGGTAACAATATCTTGGATTTCATGAAGTGCTTTAAGGTGTTTTTTTTTTTACTTCTGTCATTCAATGACCATTATTATTCTCACTATCAAGCACTTTATTTGATACTCCGCTCATGAAAATGTTGGCCTAATAAAATATAAAAAATTGAATGGTAGGTTTTGGTCCGACTTACAAAGTTAGAGATAATTCATGATCAAACAGAAAAAAGGAGAATAGGAGTAGCGGACGAAGAGTAGTAACTTTATTGGAGGATTTGAAGATATGGTTGGAAGAGGAGTGAAGGAAATGGGACAGTATGGATGGAGAGAGTTAACAACAGAGAAGGTTAAACATATATGATCACCAGTCTAGGTATATAGCATATGGCACCTACACTACAATGAAAGAGAAAGAGATAGAGAAGAGAGAGAGAGAGCATCAAGAAAGTGATTCAAGAAATCTAAATGAAGAGATATGAGATATACATACTAGCTCTATACCAGCTAAAAGTTCATCAAGCCAATTAAGATGAATATTCAGTGACTTGATGACACCATAGTGGGACTCCCCTCTAATCTTCACTTCGACGACAGACTCAACTCCCAGATCCAACTTCTGTGCCTCGGGGGACGTGTCGATGACGATGATGTCCTTGTCATATCCTACACGATGTTGGGGGTATTCGTAGGAGGTACGATGTGAATTCTCCTCTTCAAGATTTTCCTGGTAGTTCTCAAAGTTTGTTTCCTGAAACCATCTTCGGCGGTCTGGGGATCCTGTAAATTATTTAGAGAATGGTATTAATATTGTTTTTTTCTACAGGGGCAGTTCATCAGTGAATGTGCTCTTAAGTAGAAACAGGAGACACAATGTCAATGATTTCCTAAAATATCAAAGCATAACATTTTTCTCAAGGTTTACCATGTAACATGGTGAACAGGAACACTGGGATGAACAAGATGGAAAAAAAAGGAGAAAAAGAGATAAGTGTTTTGTTTTGACATCATTTAACCTCGTGGAATGATGCAGACCACTCTAACTCATTACCATAAATTTGTTTAAACGCGTCAAGAATCTCTCCATTATCAATTGAGGAAAATAAAAAAAATCAGAATATGTTTTTCCATTTTTTTTTATTCACCCCTTATGTTGATAGTACATGAACTATTTCAGGATGTACGTAGCAAGGATCGTAGTCAAAATCTGGAGTCCTAAGAACAAGAGCAGGATTAAAACATCTAGCATATTAGATCTCAGAGTCAAAACCTTTGTCAAATATCAGAATGCCAATTCTATTTCTATCAGGAGGAGGGGGCACAGTCCCCACACTACTTTTTCAAGTTCCATTAAAGTGCCCCCTTTTAATTCAGATAAGTGCCCCTTTTTATTTCTAATAGGTGCCTGTTCCACATTATTATAAGTACCCCTTACCACTTCTAATAAGTGCCCCCTTCACCAATGATAATTGCCCATATTCAAATCTAAGAGGTGCCCTTTTACTTTAACAAGTGCCAATGTCTTTCCAATCAGTGCCCCTTCTCCTTCTGATGATTGCCCTTTTCACCTCTGATAAGTGCCTCTTATTGACACATGCCCCTTTTACTTTCTAATACAGTAAGTGACTTGTTATCCTTCTGATAAATGCCCCTTTTCTTTTTTAATAAGAGCCCCTTCCCCTTCTCTGATAAATGATAGCTTTATCAAAATCTGATAGGTGCCCCTTTCCTTTAACAGTGCTCATTTTCCATTGTAACTAGAAATATCGCAATCTGTATTGCCGCGTAATGCGACTGTATCCCCCAGCAGTGACAGCAATTTTGTGTCATCCTTATGTTCGAAGGAGGGACAAAGATCCCCTCTCCCCTCCCTGAAACAATTAAAAGGATGACGTAGAGATCGCCATTAGTGGCTTAGATTATTGTCAAGACTAGGAGCAGCATCACCAAAACAATATATGTGTAGATAAGAGTATAATGCATCTCTGTAAAAAATTTGAAAGAAAATCTGTTAAGAAATGTGGCAGTTAGAGCGCACAAAAGACAGCCACCAATACATGACCTTCGACCCTATAACAGACACAGGTGGCAGCATCACCAAACACTAAAGATGTGTAGATTGTACTAAGACACACCTCCATACAACATTTGAAAGAAATATGTCAAGAAATGTGGCAGGTAGAGCGCATAAAAGGGACAAATGACCTTTGACCTTATAAAGGATGGAACAATGAGGGCAGCATCACCAAAAAGGAGAGATGGGTAGATTGTACCAAGATACATCTAGATACAAAATTTGAAAGAAATCTGTCATGAAACAAAATATGACCTGCAGAGGGCACACGAGATACCCACAAAATTATGACCAACATACACTTCCATGCTCAATTTGAAAGAAATCTGTCAAGAAATGATGTAGTTAGACCTCACATTAGAGTGCACACACAACATCTATCAAAATATGACCTTTGACCCTATAAAAGACGAAACCCTGGAGGCAGCATCACCAAGATGTAGAGGCTTGTAGATTATACCAAGATACATCTTTGTTTAAAATTTGAACAAAATTCCGTTAGAAATGTGGCCTATAGAGCACACACAAAACATCCACAAAAGTATGGCCTTTTACCCTTAGATAGAAGACGGAACACTGGGGTCAGCATCACCAAAAGTTATAGGTGTGTAGATTATACCAAGATACACCTCCATACAAAATTTGAAAGAAATCTGTCAAGGAATGATGCAGTTATTAGACCCCACACTAGAGTGCACACAAGACATCTATCAACATATGTCCTTTGACCCTTTAAACACTGGAGGCATCACTTAAATCTATAGGCTTGTAGATTATACCAAGATACTGTACATCTTCGTTCAAAATTTGAACAAAATCCCTTGAGAAATGTTGCCTACAGGGTGTATAGAACGCACACAAATGATCCATAAAAATATGGCCTTTTACCCTATAGAAGACAGAACACTGAGGGCAGCATCACCTAGAGTTAAAGGTGTGGAGATTTTACCAAGATACACCTTGATACAAAATTTGAAACAAATCCTTCAAGGAATATGTGGCAGTTAGAGCGCACACAAGAATATGACGCGGTGGCGTAACGCTGCTGAATCCAAAGTACCCCACCGGCGTACTGCCGGGGGATACAAGAAGTGCCCCTTTCTGTTCTCCCAAGTGCCCCTATTCATCTGTCAAGAAATGGGGTCAGCATCACCAAAAGTTATAGGTGTATGTGTAGATTATACCAAGATACACCTCCATACAAAATTTGAAAAGAAATCTGTCAAGGAATGATGCAGTTATTAGACCCCACACTAGAGTGCACACAAGACATCTATCAACATATGTCCTTTGACCCTATAAAAGACGGAGCACTGGAGGCAGCATCACCAAGATGTAGAGGCTTGTAGATTAATTATACCAAGATGCACCTTCGTTCAAAATTTAGACGAAAGCCCTTGACAAATGTGGCCTATAGAGCGCACACAAATGATCCATAAAAATATGGCCTTTTACCCTATAGAAGACAGAACACTGGGGGCAGCATCACCAAAAGTAATAGGTGTGTAGATTATACCAAGATACACGCCGATCCAAACAAAATTGAAAAAAATCCGTCAAGAAGTGATGCAGTAATTGGACCGCACACTAGAGTGCACACAAGACATACATCAAAGTATGACCTTTGACCCTATAAAAGACGGTATATTATACCAAGATACACGCCGATCCAAACAAAATTGAAAAAAATCTGTCAAGAAGTGATGCAGTAATTGGACCGCACACTAGAGTGCACACAAGACATACATCAAAGTATGACCTTTGACCCTATAAAAGACGGAACACTGGAGGCAGCATCACCAAAATTTATAGGTGTGTAGATTATACCAAGATATACTAAACCTGAAAGAAATCCGTCTAGAAATGTGGCAGTTAGAGCGCACTCAAGAATATGACGCGGCGGCGGCGGCGTCGTAATTTGCTGCTGAATTCAAGAGTCTTTTTACATTTGGATAAATGTTTGATAATTATTTTCTTTTCTTTTAAGTTCTTCATGCAGCCATGCATCAAGTCTTTCATCTTCTTTGTGGAGCTGATCGTCAACGAAACAGAATTAAGTCTTTTGAGAACTCTGTTTGTTGCTACAGCAGGCAGCCAGTGACACAAATTAGTGTAATCAAATTATGGAAATGCAAGCATTACATTAAACAAACAGAACTTTTTTATTCCTAGCCTTTGGACAAGGCCTCGCTGCCGAGTAGGGTCTGAAAATAGACTAACGCAGTGTGGCTTTACAGCAGTGAACGCTGGACCGAGCCGCTTCAGCGGCTTGGCCTTTGCTAAAATATACAGCAGCTAGTGATGATCGTGGCCAATCGTAATTGTTCGTCCATGAAATTCAAATGTACTAAAAAAATAAATAATATCTAGTTCAATTTCGAATAAAATATGAATTTATCAAAAAAAATATACTATTTATTGACTAGGGTATTCATTGTTTTGCTGCTTTAGTAGATTTATAGTAAAATTTTGCTCTCTTGTTTTTCACATTGACTCTAGTGGTTTGCGCGATCAGCTGGTCGAAATTGTTATTGTACAACACATGAATATCTGTGTGCGTGTGAAAACGTTGCGTTCATGGAGCTTTGAATTTGCAGGGCTAGCAGCTAGCTGCATGCAAGTGAATTAAAATAATGAAAAGGACATCAAATTCTGGTAATTCTGCTTAGGTCTATAATATAATAGATGTGCAAAAAAGGGTAGATATCTTCTATGCAGTACATTCTGCATGGTTCCTGTGCAAGAGTTTTCCTAGCTACAGTATTTCTTATAATGAAGATATCATTTTGTGTGTGACAAGTTTGCTTCACATTCTTTCATTAAAGAAATAAGAGGTGAAACGATAACTTCAGTGGACAGTGCAGTTCGGCGTGAGTAGTACCTCCCGGCCCGCCGAACTCTAGGCAGCTTCGGAAGGAGACGCCGATGGGGATGGTGTGCTGGCAGCGACTGAGCTGTAGTCATCTGCACAAAGAAGTCCTTGCACAGTGGAATTATGGCTTGAAAAATCGCAGATTTGCCATAACCGGTTGGAATATTAACAAATACATCTTCTCCTTTCACTGCTGATTTTATAGCTTTTGATTGTAACTCCTTAAAACTCCTTAAAAGATGATAATTTCAACCTTTCGGCCGCATATTCAAGGCTCTTTGATAAGAGATCTCCTTCGTCGCTCGCCATGTTCTGTAACCGCTCAAAAATGTATTGATGAATATATATGTTGATAATGAATATTCATGAAGTTTTCTCGAATCGTCTACTCTGATTAATGCATCGGATTGGAAGGGGCGGTTTGGCCGGCTTTCTGGGTAAGATACTTTGCATCTAATTATCTACCGATTTGGTAGCGGAAATATAATACAAAACAAAAGAAATAAACTACAACAACCACTCAGGTTAGTAAAGGCCAAGATGCTGACGCACCTCGTCCCACAGATCACAGTCGTCGCGCGATTAGTCTATGTATTCAGACGCGTTTAGGGAAATACAGCACGAGTGCCTTGACTAAAGGCTATGTTATTCCTGACTCATTTTTCCTGATTGAGTTGTCATAGAAAAGAGCAGAAAATGAACTTTCTAGAAATGTAATTTTCTCTTTGAAATTCAGATACCGCCCGCCAAATGACTTTTTGGTACCCTCTCTAATCTCTTCAGATTGTTTTAATCACTCATGCGCGCAAGATGCATCCTATGAGTTGTATCAAA